TGCTCTTTTAGAAGTCGCCGGGTCTATTCTCACTCTAGCGGCCGGCAAGAATTTCGGTTCCCGATCTTTACTGGTCTTTCTGCTTTCAGATTCTGCAACGAGAACAACCCCTGCCCGGTCCCCATCTTCTGGTCCTCCTGGGGTTCGTGGAGTAAGTGCAGCGCCGATTGCGGAGGAGGGGTCCACACCAGGCAGCGGACCTGCGAGAATGGGAACACGTGCCCCGGCTGCTCCCAGGTGTGTATGCCATCCTTCAGGATTGGTGCCCCCCCCATCCGATCTGACCCACCAGGACACAGTCTCCTATTTGGGGCGAGTTAATTGCCCAATTATTTTTTAATTGCCTGATGCTAGTTTACAATATCCTCTAATATTAGACCACCAGTGACCACCCTGCCGCCATCTTAAATTCAATCTTCAAATCAAATTGAAGCAATCCGTGGAATCAAATGGAAATTGGTCATGTGACCACTATGTTGTTTAAAGGAGAACTATGGGGGTTAAGTCTTTTCCCCATAGTTCTCCTTAGGGTAACGGGAGGACACAAACTAGCGTCCTCCCGTCACCCTAGGCTCAGTATACCGCGAGCTACAGCTCCCTATATACTGAGACGCTGCAGTATACCGCGAGACGCGGCAGCTGAAGCGGATCCCGACAATTGTGCCGGGATCCGCCCAGCTGCGTGAGTGACAGCTGGCTCTGCCTATCTAGAGGCAGAGCCAGCTGTACCCGCCCCCTCCCCCGTCCGTTCCGCCAGTCAGCGCTAACCCCCCCCCCCCCTCAGTTCTCACCTCCTAGGGACAGTTAATCCCCAATTCCAGCCAAATGTTTCCTTTCAGTTTTGGATGAGAAGGCTCAATATTTACAGATCCCTTTTGGATTTCCTCCCGCTTCCTCTTCCTATGAATACAAGAGAAGAAATTAAGGGGAGCGATTGTCGCTGGGTTAGGAGAACTTAGTGTGATTGGAATGGATTATAGTAACAACGCCGCGCCCCCAATTATACCTTACTGCAAACTACAAACATAGAAATTAAAAATGGGACTTTAAAGGAGAACTATGAGGTAAATGTGCAAAAATAGCAGTGTACTTGAAGTTGATCCGAACTGCCCCTCTCAGGTGGGTACTTACCAAAAGGAAGTTGGTAAGAAGCTCTTAGTAAGTAATACCGTGATTAGGCTTTAGCACAGACGTGTTCTCTGCGAGTCCCGGCAGCTGAAACAATTGATTTTCTCCTCTATGCCGTTGGCTATAACTCAAGGATGAGGAGTCCGATCTTTTCTGATAAGAAATGCTTTGCCGTTTATCCCGCAGAGTTTTTTAGGGATGGATAAAAGAAGAAGAAAGAACCTTCATTGCGCAATATATAAAGCCATAGACTTTTATTCAAAAATTGGCTTACAAGGCAAAAGAATTTTCGGCCGGCTAAAAACAGCACAGAGACAGGCGTTTAAACCTCGTGTCTGATAAATTAGCATCTACCCTCCTCGACGCGTTTCGTCATGTGACTTCCTCAGAAGGGGGGTGGATTCATTCATTTATTCTAACTACCACCTCTCTCCAGAAGCGCAGATTTATCTGTTTACATATCCCTATATACTGAGCCTAGGGTGACGGGAGAACGCTAGTTTGTGTCCTCCCGTTAGCCTAAGGAGAACTATGGGGAAAAGCCCTGACCCCGTAGTTCTCCTTTAAGGGCACCAATATATGAGAGTACAGGTAGTCCCCGGGTTACAAACAAGTTCGGTTCTGTAGGTTTGTTCTTAAGTTGAATTTGTATGTCAGTTGGAACAGGTACAGTTTTTTAAGTGTAACTCCAGCCAAAAATGTATTTATTTTTTTGTTATAGCATAGGGAAGTAAAGTTTGTGCCCCTGTTCATAAGATTTCACCTCACTTTCTGTCCCTGTGATAATAAAATTGTGACATGTTTGAGTTGCCGTGGAAACCAGGATTGGTGATAAAGCTTCGGTGGTGACACCTTTTTTCCCCATGATGACTCTTAGGCCCGGTTCACACCTGGGTGTTTGGTAGCGCGTTCCTACGCTCTGCAAAACGCTCAACCACCGAAATCCCATTTATTTCCTATGGGCGTGGTTCACACCTGGGCGTATTACAGGCCGTAGGAACGCGCTACAAAACGCCCTACGCCCCAAAGAAGTACAGGAGCTTCTTTGGGGCGTTTTTGTCACGCGTTTCCATTGGGATACAGCCAGGTAGCCCTCGTAAACCAAGTCACGGGTTTTTTTTACCGCGAATCGTGCGACAAACGCGCATATTCGATATGCCTGTGTGTGAACCCAGCCTTTCAGGAGTGAATTCCTCTTACTAGGGCTATATTTCCTCTCACTTCCTCTTGTCTCAAGGACAGGAAGTGAGAATAAATCTTTCTGATGAGGATACAGACAGCAGTAAAAAACCTCACAGTGACCCGGAAGAAGAGGCGGGAACCCCTCCCCTCGCCTGCACGTCTAACAGGAGCCAACTTCCTGTAATGTAAGTACAGTAATACGAACCAGACCCAAAAAGGCGAGCGCTCCTCGTCGGCACGAGCGCGGGAGCATTACAACCACCCCCGCTGTACAGTAATAGCCTCTGTTTTGTAAGTAGGAGTCGGATGTAAGTCGGTTGTTTGTATCTCAGGGACTGCCTGATCGCATTATTAGGGTCACATTTCCCAGGATTCCATTTATGAAATCCTCTTTTTCATTATACAAAGTGATCTGTAAAATACAATGACCTCCCACGGTCTCCAAGCCCCCCCCCTGTTCAGCTCATATACATTGTATCTACTTGTTAATCTCAAATATTCCCTTACCTTTCAATTATTCGAGCCGATAATTGCAAAGAGATGAGACCACTTCTCGACGCGTTTCCCCCGGACATTAAAGGAGAACTATGGGGTCAGTGTTTTTCCCCATAGTTCTCGTTAGGGTAACGGGAGGACACAAACTAGCGTCCTCCCCTCACCCTAAGCTCAGTATATAGGGAGCTACATCTCGCAGTATACTGAGACGCCGCAGCCGGAGCGGATCCCGACTTAGACGTCGGGATCCGCCCAGCTGCGTGAGTGACAGCTGGCTCTGCCTATCTAGAGGCAGAGCCAGCTGTACCCGCCCCCTCCCCCGTCCATTCCGCCAGTCAGCGCTGGAGGATCGGAGCGGGGAGGGGGGAATCCAGCCCCTCCCCCTGTCACGGCAGGGAGACGTGACAGGATCGAGAGGCGAGCGAACGCCGGTATGTGTTCGCTCACCTCCCGATCTACTGAGCCGACCTGTGACGGTCTCATTGTCACAGGTCGGCTAGAACTATGAGGTGAGTGGAAACCACCCCCCCATAGTTCTCCTTTTAAATCTGCTTCTTCGGGAGATAAAAGGAGGTGACAGAGCTACAAAATCACATTGATACAATAAGGCCTTGTGCACACCAAATGCAGAGCAGATCGGGTCAGGTTTCGGCACACGCACGCTAGTCTTTTAGATGTGTTTTTTACGCGTTTTTGGCTTTAAAAAAAATGTGCTTTTTTTTTTAAAGTTTAAAATGGGCTTTCATTGCGTTGCAGGCATTTGCATGCGTTTTTGATGCGTTTGCAGATCCAGAGCAGGTAAAATAGAGCCTGCTGCAGTTTTTGTACCTGCTCTGGAACTGGTGAACTGGAGCAAAAAATACCATTGGAATACATTGGACGCAGTTTTGATCCGGTCTGCACCTGATCCGCGCTTGGTGTGAACAAGGCCTAACAGTGACGCGCCACGCCTTCTGCGCTGGCTGAGGCACACCCCCGTCCCGCCGAAGCCCCCCCGCCCCCAGCTTGCTAACCAAGCTGTGTGGGGAGGAGGAAGGGAGGAGCCTGCCTCACTTGCTCGTCACTGTTGAGGCCTCGAGATCGATGTCCTCACTGGGTTTTTTTCCCTTTTTTTTTTTTGATTGGACAGCTCGGAACAATGGCGCTTTGCCATTGGTTCAGCCATCCACAGAGCTCACGCCTCGAACACAGAGTAGAGGCTGCGACAGCTCTTAAAGGCTGCGACACCTAAATCCAAGCATGCCCCATGATTGGGGGAAGGGGTGCGGGGAATATAAGGTTCCCCAAAGGCCACCGTTAGTACCCCATAAAAATCTATCATACATCTATCTGTTATCAGGGCCTGTTCACACGACGTCCATTTTCTGTGCTGACCTGATTCCGTACGCTCCTGCACTAAAAATGCATCCCAATGTCTCCCTATGTGTTTTATGGGCTACGTTTCTCACGTGCGCAGTCCGTTCAGGTTACGACTGAAAAATACTGCAGGTCACATTTTGCACGGTCAGGAAACGGTCCGGAAACGCAAAACGCACCAATAACGCGCCAAAAACGCGTCAAAAACTGCAGCTAACATACTGACGGCCCCACTGGAACGCATCAAAAACGCGGCAAAACACATAGCACCGCGTCTGCTGATCCGGACCTAATCAGGATTTTTTAAACAAAATTTAGACATGGGGGAAAAAAAACACTCTCCTCCTTCATGTCCCCAGCTCCCCGTTATCTTCTCTTTCATGTCCCCAGCTCCCCATTATCTCCCCCTCCATGTCCCCAGCTTTCCGCTCCCGAAGCCCATGTGCAAGTCCTACACAAACTCATCACATACAATGGGTAAAAAAAGAGTGACTACCCTAGACAACATAGAACCAACGGGCGGAACGACAGGTCCCGGTCGCAATTGCGACCGCTGCGACCCTGGTAGTTCCGCCAGTGCTCACTGCACCTTGAATGCAATAGAAGCCGTCTCATCCCTCTACAAGTATCAGCTTGGAATAATCAAAAGATAATTGAATATTTGAGATAACAACTAGATACAATTTATATCAGCCGAATGGGAGGCTTGGAGACGGCAGGAGGTCATTGTACTTAGAGACACCTTTGTATAATGAAAGAGGGTTTCTCTAATGGCGCATAATCTTCTGAAATGTGATCTTGAGATTAATTAAATATGAACGGGAATAAAAGTCTTTAGATTTTTAAATCATTTTCTGTTAATATCCTCCCACATATCGGGACACTTAAAGCCCCATTTTTCTTAGGTATGTTGTTCCAGACGGCAATCATATGCAGACAGATGTCCTCACTTACCCTACCGAGCAATCGTTTCAGCGTCTGGCCCCAGCGGGCACAATCCGTTCCTCTTCTTGTCTGTGATCGGCCAGCAGTTCCTCTTCTGCCGGTGCAATCTGTTCTGTGGTCACATGGACTTATCCCGTTCTCCTCTACGTTATAGGAATTCAGGACCTGCAACCCCGAAACGTGCCCGGAGGTGCGCAGAAACACGCCTTGGACGCCCTGGATGCCCATCAACGTCACGCAGAGCGGGGCGCGCCAGGAACAGCGTTTCCGATACACCTGCAGAGCTCAGCTGTCGGACCCCCATATGCTGCAGTTCGGGAGGAAGAAGATCGAGACCCGGTTCTGTGCCAACGACGGCTCGGTGTCCTGCGAGACGGACTGTACGTTTTGTATCTGACCTGAGAAAAAACTAAATCTGGTGTTTTTTATTTTATTAATATTAGGGACGCACCAAAACTTTTCGAGTACCAGTGCCGATACCAGTGCCGATACTTGCCATTTTCACTCGAACTCCCAGGGTGGCAGCGGTTGCAGCTGGGACCAGGCTCTGGCGCTCCACCGCTGTCCTGAAATCATCAGTCTGTATTGTTTTAGAAAAACTGTCACATGACACGAAACAAAAATGTGTCAGTACTCGTACTCGCAAAACTGGTATCTGTGCATCCCGAATATATGTTTATAACAACAAAATGATACATTATAACAGAGATGTACAAATCCCGGGAGCTCCGTGTGCTTCTTACACATGACAGCTGCCTCCCAACTTTTGAATGTTTCTCTAGTCTAGTCTTGGAGCTGGAAAAGTATCGGTACTTGTGCCGAGTCCGGTACTTGGTATCGGTGCATCCCTAATTAATATTCTTCTATTATATGTATTTATTTTCTGTTCATGGCAGGACGCTTTGGGTAAAATCTCAAAATGTGTCTTGTCAGACTTCATCTGAAATGAGGCTGAAAAAAGATTTATGACCATTAGGTTCTTCTTCTCACAACCCTGAAGAGGAAGGTGACATATCATCTTTTTAGTACTTTTTATACATTCCAAGATATTATTCGCGGTAGATGTACAACAGTTACAGATATTCTCGGCCGTCCCAAATATATACAAACATCATTATTGTTAAAAACCATTCTAAAAAAAAACTTTTAAGGCACAATAACAATTAAAGGAGAACTATGAGGGGGGGAGGGGGGTGCTTTTCACTCACCTCATAGTTCTAGCCGACCTGTGACAATGAGACTGTCACAGGTCGGCTCAGTAGATCGGGAGGTGAGAGAACACATACCGGCGTTCGCTCACCTCTCGATCCTGTCACGGCTCTCTGCC